CATATATACATATATAACATATATACATATATACATATATATATATATATATATATATATATATATATATATATATATATATATATATATTGGCAGAAAGGTGGGCTAGTGCAAAGATGAGTAGTGGGGGGGGTTGAAGAGGGTTGGAATAGTTTTAAAAATGCAGTATTAGAATGTGGGGCAGAAGTTTGTGGTTACAGGAGGGTGGGGGCAGGAGGAAAGAGGAGTGATTGGTAGAATGATGAAGTAAGGGGTGTGATAAAAGAGAAAAAGGTAGCTTATGAGAGGTTTTTACAAAGCAGAAGTGTTATAAGAAGAGCAGAGTATATGGAGAGTAAAAGAAAGGTGAAGAGAGTGGCGAGAGTGCAAAAGGAGAGCAAATGATAGAGTGGGAGAGGCACTGTCAAGAAATTTAATGAAATAGAAAAATTTTGGAGTGAGTTAAACAAGTTAAGAAAGCCTAGGGAAAATATGGATTTGTCAGTTAAAAACAGAGTAGGGGAGTTAGTAGATGGGGAGATGGAGGTATTGGGTAGATGGCGAGAATATTTTGAGGAACTTTTAAATGTTAGAAAGAAACAGAGGCAGTAATTTCATGCACTGGCCAGGGAGGTATACCATCTTTTAGGAGTGAAGAAGAGCAGAATGTAAGTGTGGGGAGGTGCGTGAGGCATTACGTAAAATGAAAGGGGGTAAAGCAGCTGGAACTGATGGGATCATGACAGAAATGTTAAAAGCAGGGGGGATATAGTGTTGGAGTGGTTGGTATTTTTGTTTAATAAATGTATGAGAGAGAGGAAGGTACCTAGGGATTGGCGGAGAGCATGTATAGTCCCTTTATATAAAGGGAAGGGGGACAAAAGAGATTGTAAAAATTATAGAGGAATAAGTTTACTGAGTATACCAGGAAAAGTATACGGTAGGGTTATAATTGAAAGAATTAGAGGTAAGACAGAATGTAGGATTGCGGATGAGCAGGGAGGTTTCAGAGTGGGTAGGGGATGTGTAGATCAAGTGTTTACATTGAAGCATATATGTGAACAGTATTTAGATAAAGGTACGGAAGTTTTTATTGCATTTATGGATTTAGAAAAGGCATATAATAGAGTGGATAGAGGAGCAATGTGGCAGATGTTGCAAGTATATGGAATAGGTGGTAAGTTACTAAATGCTGTAAAGAGTTTTTATGAGGATAGTGAGGCTCAGGTTAGGGTGTGTAGAAGAGAGGGAGAATACTTCCCGGTAAAAGTAGGTCTTAGACAGGGATGTGTAATGTCACCATGGTTGTTTAATATATTTATAGATGGGGTTGTAAAGGAAGTAAGTGCTAGGGTGTTCGGGAGAGGGGTGGGATTAAATTATGGGGAATCAAATTCAAAATGGGAATTGACACAGTTACTTTTTGCTTATGATACTGTGCTTATGGGAGATTCTAAAGAAAAATTGCAAAGGTTAGCGGATGAGTTTGGGAATGTGTGTAAAGGTAGAAAGTTGAAAGTGAACATAGAAAAGAGTAAGGTGATGAGGGTATCAAATGATTCAGATAAAGAAAAATTGGATATCAAATTGTGGAGGAGGAATATGGAAGAAGTGAATGTTTTCAGATACTTGGGAGTTGACGTGTCGGCGGATGGATTTATGAAGGATGAGGTTAATCATAGAATTGATGAGGGAAAAAAGGTGAGTGGTGCGTTGAGGTATATGTGGAGTCAAAAATACGTTATCTATGGAGGCAAAGAAGGGAATGTATGAAAGTATAGTAGTACCAACACTCTTATATGTATTTGAAGCTTGGGTGGTAAATGCAGCAGCGAGGAGACGGTTGGAGGCAGTGGAGATGTCCTGTCTAAGGGCAATGTGTGGTGTTAAATATTATGCAGAAAATTCGGAGTGTGGAAATTAGGAAAAGGTGTCGAGTTAATAAAAGTATTAGTCAGAGGGCAGAAGAGGGGTTGTTGAGGTGGTTTGGTCATTTAGAGAGAATGGATCAAAGTAGAATGACATGGAAAGCATATAAATCTATAGGGGAAGGAAGGAAGGAGGGGTAGGGGTCGTCCTCGAAAGGGTTGGAGGGGGTAAGGTAGGTTTTGTGGGCAAGGGGCTTGGACTTCCAGCAAGCGTGCGTGAGCGTGTTAGATAGGAGTGAATGGAGACGAATGGTACTTGGGACCTGACGATCTGTTGGAGTGTGAGCAGGGTAATATTTAGTGAAGGGATTCAGGGAAACCGGTTATTTTCATATAGTCGGACTTGAGTCCTGGAAATGGGAAGTACAATGCCTGCACTTTAAAGGAGGGGTTTGGGATATTGGCAGTTTGGAGGGATATGTTGTGTATCTTTATACGTATATGCTTCTAAACTGTTGTGTTCTGAGCACCTCTGCAAAAACAGTGATAATGTGTGAGTGTGGTGAAAGATTTGAATGATGAAAGCATTTTCTTTTTGGGGATTTTCTTTCTTTTTTGGGTCACCCTGCCTCGGTGGGAGACGGCCGACTTGAAAATATATATATATATATATATATATATATATATATATATATATATATATATATATATATATATATATATATAGTGTGTGGGGTGTGTGTGTGTGTGTGTGTGTGTGTGTGTGTGTGTGTGTGTGTGGGTGTGTGTGTTGCCGTATAGGTAAAACTGGTCAATTAGCAAGAACTCGTTTAAAATTATGTCCTTTCTAAAATTTTCCATTTACGTTAATGTAAAAAATAATTTTATCCCAAAAGAATCCTAGAAAACTTACCTAACCTTATTACAACAAGTGCAATTTAATTTAGCCTAAACCAACTAAATATATTTTAGATAAGTTTACAATAATTTAATAATAAACAAACACAATGAAATATATTTTTCTCGTTAGGTTCAGAATGACTTTTGCGAAATTATTGCATACACAATTTTCGCTTGCCTTATTCGGCAAGAAGAGTTTTGCTATTTAAGCCCAAATAGCAAGTTTTACCTATTCGGCACGCCATATATATATATATATATATATATATATATATATATATATATATATATATATATTATATATATATATTAATGAGATATCTGGGATATCTTATTCTTTTATCTGGAAGTGGACTTGTCGGCGGATGGATCCATGAAAGATAAGGTGAACCTTTGAACTGACAATGGAAAAAGGTGGGTGGTGCAGTGAGGCCTCTGAGGAGAGCTATATATCAGAGTATAGTGGTATCAACACTCTTATTTGGTGTGAAGCATGGGTTTTAAACATTGCAAAGAGAAGAAGGCTGCACGCAGGGAGATGTCGTATCTGAGGGCTATGTGTGGTGTGAATATTATGCAGAAAATTCGTAGTTTGGAGAGTAGGAGGTGCGAGGTTACTAAAAGTCTTATCCAAAGGACTTAGGCTGGGTTATTGAGGTTGTTCGGAGATTTAGATATGGTAGGAGGGGTAGAGGCTGTCCTGGGAAATGTTGGAGGGCGAGGGTTAAGGAGATTTTGTAAGAGAGGAACTTAAGACGTCCAACAGGCGTGTTTGTACCAGTGTTAGATACGGTTGGAGGCAAGTGGTTTTTATAACGACGTGCTGCTGGAGTGCGAGTGAGAGACAGACGTTTTTTTAAAGTAAATAACTTACTAGTATTTCCAGTTATAATAAAATAAAAATGAATTAACTAATATTCGACTACAGATGTTGTCTTTACTTTCAGTTAACTAACTGAAAACTGTCACATTCAGATGTTTAAATATATCAAGAGACAAGACATGAAATATTCGAAATGTGGACACATGTAAAGATGAATACAACATGCTTTAAGTGACTTAAATTCTTTAACAAAATTTATTTCTCTTTAAAACTCTTTAATACATGTTGATTTGGCTCATGGCTGTCTTGAAGTATTGATGAGCAAGTTTATGCCAGGAATGTTGCACCTTCCTCCAGGAATGTTGCACCTTCCTCCAGGAATGTTGCACCTTCCTACCACTTTCCCTTCCTGATGTGGTTTCTTAGGTGTATGAAATCCTTGAGGGTGTAGAGACAGCTTAGCTGATCCTCAAGAAGCTTCCCCACGGGGACCCCTGACAAAGACTGCAGAAAGCGTAGCTGATCGTAGAGATGTCGCTGTTCACAGTCATAATTCCGTAGATCGTGGAAGAACTTCTGAATGACAATAATGCTGCATCTACTTGCATTGTCTTGCACGTTTTCAGACTCACTGAAGCCTTTGAGCGACCTTGACACGAGGCTCAAAGCCTCTGTCTCCCTAGTGTAAACTTGCTAGTTGTTTCCTCTGGGCTGTTTGTTGATGTATATTCCCGTAAACTGCCATTTTATACCATTTTCAACATACCAAAGGTATGTTGAAAATTATATAAAATACCAGCAAGTTAGATGATTAAGCTCCATGGAGCTGAACTTTTCTCCAGGCTCAGGGACTGACCACCTCATATCTCCAAGGTTGATGGACTGATTACATCATCATTTAACTACTACACCTGCTGCCTCTGTATTTGACTGAAGAAGCCTACTGTGTAGGCGAAACGTTTCAACAATAAAGATACCCAACTGTTGCACATGTTGGGTATCTGTATTGCACTATCGATAATACCTTTGGCATACCTTTGGTGAGAGCAAAGAGACGCTCTTGTTTGAAACTGTTCTCGCCAACTCACTTTCACACGCCAGTCTTGCTGGTCACAATTTTTCCTACATTTCTAGATCCATAACCTTACACACACATAAGAACATAAAAGCAGCAGCACTGCATCAGACCTATTGACCCATTCTAGGCAGGTCCAAGTCACCTAATGGCCCAAACTAGTTAGGTCCTAGTCATCTACTGGCCTAAGCTAGTTAGGTCCAAGTCACCTACTGGCCTAAGTTAGTCAGGTCCATGTCACCTACTGGCGTAAGTTAGTCAGGTCCAAGTCACCTACTGGCCTAAGCTAGTTAGGTCCAAGTCACCTACTGGCCTAAGTTAGTCAGGTCCAGGTCACATCCACTCATATAATTGTCTAATCTATTTTTAAAACTGCACAAGTCGGATTGTGAAGCGGCACTACAGATACTATCAAAGTTGATCTGAACCGGGAGTTGTGGTGCGGTCGTTCCTCGTAACACAAGTCAGTCTGATTGACGGCGGTGCCTACGTGGATGCGACGACCAGCACAACAGCTGAGTGATGGCATCCTTCGGGCAAATAAGGCTCAATTGATTATGGGTATACAATCGATGATGAAGAGGTAGATCACGTTCAAATTCTGGGTAATCTTTACTGTAGAGCTTCGATCCGGGCTTGGTGAATACAAATCAATACATAACTAATACAAAAACTGATCTGAGACCGAAGATGGGATCGGTCCTCACTTGTAACCACAAGTCACCTTATAAGACGGGCTGTGGTACCTACGTTGGACTGCGAGCGACCAGCACCAACAGCCTGAGTGATGAGGCCATCCTTCGGGCAAATAATGCCTCAATTGTACATGTATGGTATACAATACCGACAGAATGAAGAGGTAAACACATGTGCAACATCTGGGTATCTTTACTGTAGACGCTTCGCTATCCAGTGGCTTTATCAACACAAATTCAATACCATAACTGGAAGACAGTAAAACTATATACGAAAGATGAGGTAATCAGTCCCTCAACCTTGGAGATGGTGAAGAACACCGAAGTTGTGAAGAGCCTGAAACACAGGCATGAAGATTGGCGCTTATATACCGGCGTCTGCAATAAAGATACCCGGATGTTGCACATGTGCCTCATTCTTCAACGCCTAATTGCTGTGTACCAAGCAGCGCCTTGCAAACTACTAGACAATAATACGAGGGAACAAGTAAATAATGAAAACTGAATGCTATAGGAATGCAGTTAGAAGCCAGAGTAAACCTGTCACTGTGATAACATGATCGTAGATAAGCCTATTTATGGAGCGACTTAGAACGTGAACAGACGGATGTAGCAGCAGCCAGGCTTAGGCTTGGTTACATGTACCTCTGGCAGTTCGGCAGACACAGAGATGATCAAACTATATGCAAAGTATGTGGCCAGACCTATGATCACTATCTTCAATACAATATGCCTAACTGCCCACTTATTGAGAAATACAGAGATAATATATCCTATTTGATATGTCAAGTAGATACCTAGATACCAGACGTATTAAGCAAATTTCTTAAATTTGCTTGCGACAGATAAGCTAACTGTAGATATAAACCCAGATGTACTCCTGTTAACCCCATTCGAGGTCTAGTTCCTAGGCCTTTTGTGCATCCATATGCTCTTGCGATACCGTCCACGGGATGGATAAGGGTGCACAATAAACTAGCCTCGTCGGCGGCAAAATCTAATCTAGACTTAGCCTCAAGGCGGAGCGCTAATGCACTATCATTATTCACTATTACTCTCATCACAGGACGTCCCTCAGGACGGAGGATGCTGGCCAGGATCTTCCCTAAGGTGGAACTGCCTTTGTGTCACTTTTTTATGCAAATTAGTTACGAGAAGCCGTAAAGAACGGGTATGCTATTTCAGATACAAGTTAGGGTGAAATACAGGAATGGTAGGGTTTAATGCTGAGGGGGAGAAGGGAGGGGAAGGGTTTAATGCGTCAGAAAACAGCTATGGTCGGGTTTAATATTGGGGAAAGGTAGGAGGTTAGGTTGAGGGAGGGAAAGGTTTTTTTCTTTGGTTCATTAGGAAACAGGTAAGACCAGGTTTAACATTGAAATTCTAAGGGCTTATCTCTTTTATGTGCGGGTTATTTGTGTATTGTGTATTTTGGGGTAGTATTTAGCAGGTGAATGATCTTTAATATTTCTGGGAAATTACGAGTTGTTATTGTTGCTGATGCAATTGTTGTTATTGTCGTTGCTGTTTCAATTGTTGTTGTTACTGTTACCATTATTATTATTATTATTATTATTATTATTATTATTATTATTATTATTATTATTATTATTTAAAACAGTAACATGATCCCAGCCTCATCAACCCAACACCCCAGCCCCACCAACCCAGTCCCATCAACCCAGTCCATCAACCCCACCAACCTAGTCTCAACCCATCACCCCAATTCAGTTCCATCAACCGACCACCCAGCCCCACAAACCCAGTCCTCAGCCCAACACCACCAGCCCACAACCAGCCCATCAACCCACCGCCACAGTCCACCAACCACAGTCCACCAACCAAGTCCATCAACCCACCAGTCCCCAGCCCCATAAACAGCCCCATCAACCGACCACCCACCCAAAATACATCAGCCTACAACCCCACGATAACCCTACCACCCAGCTCACCAACCCAGGCTACCCAGGCCACACCACTCCAGCCCATCAACGACCACCCCAGCCCCAAAACACCAGCCTCACCAACACACCACCCCAACCCCAGCAACCCAGCCCCACTGCCCCAGCCCCATCAACCCGCAGCAACCACAATAATTGCGAGCAGAATTAACGTGTGTAGCCAGGACATGACACAAGGCCCCCTAATGGTCCGTCAGGGGTCCCCTAGTGGTCTTGCAGCGGACCACAGCTTTCTAAACCACACCCATCGATCCTGTTATCCTGCCCTACACTCCACAACGAGATTTCGATAACTTTTTTTCCCTTCTTCTGTCAATGTTACATCCGCTATCTGACATTCCTTCATATTAATTCCCTTATTATGAGCAGCTTCATTATCGTTATCCCCATTAAGATTTACCGTCGTTATCAGAGCTTTTATTTTAAACAATAAGCGCTAAAGCCGTATGGGTCGTACAGTGTTGCCTATGAAAAAAATTAACTTCAGATTTCTCCAAAAAAATCCTTGTAAATCAATTTCAGAAAATCTAAATTTTTTAAATAAAATTAAAATTTATAAGGCTGACAGAGACAGAGACAGAGACAGAGACAGAGACAGAGAGAGACAGAGACAGAAGAGACAGAGAGACAGAGACAGAGAGAGAATGCTTTTGAATATCGCGTTGCTGTGTTTCTATAATTAACATCTGTTTTCTCTATCTATTTGAAATCTGCTATCGTGTCGGCATCTTAGACTCGTTAATAAGACTTCTTGATATTCCTCAATAAAATATACGATGTTTAATCTTTAACTGAATTATTAAGCCAAAAATAAATGTGGTAAGCCTAGAAGGCTCCATAAATCAGTTATCGTAGATGAGAAGATTCCTTAAGATATGATTCGAGGAGGACCATGAGCTGGGGCTCATCTACGATTAAATTATTAAAAATTTATATATGATACAGGAAAATCTTTAAGCTTTAGTTAATACTTCCTTGTTTCTCTAAAGAATTCTTAAGCTATAAACCGAGAGGTGGTGACAACAATAATAATAATAATAATAATAATAATAATAATAATAATAACAACAAGAGCCTTTCACCACGGGGCTTGTATCTATATATTTTTTAATCATCATAGTGTCAGTTGCTTTATGAAATGCATCATCACGGTGTTGACTAACTTAAGCAACTGCATTCCTTTGTTTTATACTAAAAAATTTTGTGTGGCATTGAGATGTGATCCTTTTCAGTTCCTGTATCTCTGGGATAGTTTTTTTTTTTTCGTCGCACGTTGTTACATATGCATTAAGAGAGTTCTGTCATCATGTAGAGGAGGGGAGGGGGCTACATGATGACTGTGTCCTCCAGTTTGAGCAGGATGAGCTTATCGAGAACCGAAATCATAAAACTGCCAGAATTTTGTGTGATGGTAGTACCCATAGTGCTGGTTATTTTTTTCTGATGACTAATTTGGAATCTTTGAAGAACACGAGATAATGGTGGAATTTGTGTGTGTGTGTATAGCTCACGCGTTGTGCAGCCACGCAGGACAGTGCAGGCAATGTTGAAATTGTCTCTTGATATACGTTTGCCGAGCTTCCAGAAGTCTGCTCCCATGTACATTTTGTCTCATCCTCCACACGGGATGGTATAGTTACAGGTGCTAGGTGAAAACTATTATTATTATAATCAAGGGGGAAGCGCTAAACCCGTAGGATTATACAGCGCCCAGGGGGGGGATGTGGAAGGCATTCAGGCTTAATTCGGGGAACTGGAGCACAGATTCAATTCCCTAAATCAAGAGCCTCTCACCACATCATAATTCCATGATTGAGGTAGTGTGAAAACTAGCTGAACGTGATGTATGGCTGCTTAGGTTGCACTCTTGGCAAGAAACTTAGGAAGTCTGTCTGAAAAGTGGCTGACTGGAGTATTCAGAAATTGTCAAATGACTATTTGGTAATGTGGAAGCCGGTTCCACTGGTGAAACGCCTCACTAAAGTTCCTCTCTGCAAACTGTCCATCTTCTCCCCTCCTTCCTTTTCTCCCATAATTAATGAATTATCGAGTGTTGTAGTTTAAACACTACAACACTCGATAAATAAGATCTAGGAAATGGGAAGTAAATCAGATTTGATCCGAAAACGGTGAGGGCAGCCCCAATTCCTTGGATCAAGGGCCTTTCACCAACATCAAGGTAACCCCATTCACATGAGAAGCACGAGAGTAAATCCATCATAACTTGATGAAAATGTGCACAGCCACACTAAGAAAAAAAGGGAGATGCTAAAATAATTTCTTTAATATCCTCTTGGTGAGCCTTCAGTGAATCATTGCAGTGTAACCACAAGGTATATTTTGATTTCGATGCAAAAACCAGAGTGGACCAAAAACGCCTCCCAGAGGAACTCCACTCAAGCAGTCAGACCAGAGTTGTTAGCACGGAGCACCAGCCAACTGACAATTAATCGTGTTAATTTACCTTAACAAGAGTTACCTTCAAGAACACTGGTTGCTGTAAATCCTCGTAAATATACTGATTAATTTACAATTAACCACGCGGTTTACAATTTGCTTAAACTGTTTTACGGACCAGTTTCTGCCTGACACATGCACGGCCGTGGTGTCTTCAAATACTTTATAAGAAACATATGATCGAATTTCCCCGATCTTTTATTTGTTACAGATTCGTTACCGAGATTTTTTCTTCTATGTATAATTGTATTTGTGTATAAATATGTCTTGGATAAGATCTTTTTAATATAAATATAAAAGTTGAATTACCCGGACGAGGAGGTGAAGGAAGCAAACTCCATACGCAGTTTCATGGACAGGCACAACAATGCCCACGAAGTAGGTATACAGTTAAAAGGAAAGGCCTGGAGCTGAAACTCGACCCAGGCAACCACATGTAAATGATGGTAACTAACAACCAGACCAGTAAACACTTCAGTCACTGAAGAGGGAAGCATACAAGCACAGCTCTTCTCCTGTAACTACAAACTTGTAGTAAATCAATCAGTCAGTCATTCAATCAGTCGTTCAATCTCTTTCAATCTCAGTATCTCTCTCTCACTACACAGGTTTTTTACAAGGTTCCTAACTTTATTTACAAGCTAAAAGTTTTGTAAATCAATCAATTACTCTCTTTCAATATTATCTCTCTCTCTCCCCTCTTTTTGCACGGGGTTTTACAAGGTGCCTAAATTTATTTACAAGCTAAGAGCTGTTATATCAACTCATCTGAAATTCTCTCTCTCTCTCTCTCTCTCTCTCTCTCCCATATCCTTTTCCCAACTCCTTCCTCTCCCCATCGACTTCCAAACCCATTCTCCATTACAAGAAATCACACTTCTTGCTTCACCTCTTAGCCACCCTTTCCCTAACAAGCACCACCTCACCCACCATCGCTCCTCTCATCTCCTCTGTTGTTCCAATCTTCAATTATCAGTGGCAAATAAAAGACCTTTGTGCAATCCTCTAAGGACGGCTGTTTTACTGAGCACTTATGAGTCGCGTTCAGAGACCGCTGGAGGAATCTGATCCCCCTTGGCGCCGTAGAGTCCTCAAGTAACAGGAACAACAACAGCAAGAGCAAGGGACAACAGACGACGAAACAAGGCACAAGGGAAAACAGGGCACAGAGGTGAAACAAAAGAAATGCGGAGGCTGCATGAGAGGAAGCAAGTAGGTAGTGAGACAAGAACTCTACTAACAATAACAGGATCCCGAGGGTACAATAACAGGATCCAGAGGGTACAATAACAGGATCTAGAAGGTATAATAGCAGGAACAGGAAGGTAATCAGTGCAAAGGGACAGACACGAGAGCGAAGGACACCAAAGCAGCCAGCTAAACAGGCCAAGGGTGGTCATGGTTGTCCGGCTTCGGTATAGTTTAAAAGGTTTCCTGGGATTACAGCTCTCGTGCTGGTATGTGAATCCCACCTGGCAAAAAGTGGAACATTGAACTGACTGAGGCACATGCCTTGACCACAGGTGGGTCATTGGTGCCTCAAATTTCTGCCACAACAGGCACAATGTGTACCGAAATTTAGATGACGTAAAGAATTTACCTAATAGTCTTGAGAGGGCAAACCACAGGGCTTTCACCTGTCTTATTCCCGTTACTGGGAGCATTATGCGCCTCTTTTGCAATCTTTGATTTCTGCCTACAGAGTGGATACTTCATGCATAATATAGCAATCAAATCTGTTCAACCCTATTTCCCACTGTTTCTAGTCATTTCTCGTCTAATTAGCAGTAATAATTTATCACAAGTTATATACACTGATGGTTCTAAGCATGAGTCTACTGGCAGGGCTGCATCTGCTCTTGTTACCACCTCCTTAGTTAAGAACAATAGGAACTTTGTCGAGTTAGGCATAAAAGAATTAACAACTGGGCGTCTGTCTATACTGCATAGTGAATTGTTTGCCGTCCTAATGGCGCTAAAGTTAACTTATGACACTGAGCTTGATTCTATAATTACTGATTCTATGTCATCACTGAGGGAGCTTGACTCACAAAATGATTAACAATATGCTCGTTGGAGAAACCAAATATAGTTACTGAAAAATCCGGGAAAAAGAAATTAATGTATTTGACTTGAATGACCAGAGCTTTGGTATGATAGGGAAGGAAGAAGGATGGGTAAGGAGGGAAATATGGGAAAAAAATGGGTGAGGGGAGTGGAGGTGGAGGTAATAAAGGTAAGTGGCCTAACCACAAGTGTGTGTGTGTATGTGTGTGTGTGTGTGTGTGTGTGTGTGTGTGTGTGTGTGTGTGTGTGTGTGTGTGTGTAGTGATATTAATGAAAGCAATTTCACTGAATGAGGTATATACACTCTACTCATCAGTTTCACACAGTTATAACAGGTGTATAATTGTTATGGATTCCATCACACACTGTCCTACACCTTCATGATAAAGTTGAAACGTTAGCCAAGAAAAGTACCCCGAAGGAGAATGTAGAATATAACTTCGGTGTATCTGTGTCTAGCATTAGGAATATCAGAAGAGAAGTAAATAATGAAAAATGAGTGTTGCGGGAATGTAATTTGAAGCCTCGGTAGATCTATAATCCACTATAACATGAACGTAGATAAGTACGTTTATGGAGCAACTTGCAATGTGAACAGACTGACTGATGTTGTAGTGGCCAGGCTTAGGCTTGGTTACAAGTACTTCTGGCAGTTTGGGAGACACACAGATGATCAAACCAAATGCAAAGTATGTGGTCAGTCCTACGGCCATTATCTTGAACACTACGTGCTTAACTGTCCACATATCGAGGAATACAGAGATAGTATAATAACCTAAGTGACCTATCAAAATATTTTATTAATGAAAATAAGATATCAGATATCTTAAGTAAACTTCCTAAATTTGCTTGTAACTGATACGTGAACTGTCGATATAAATCCAAATGTGCTCCTGTTTACTCTTTGGGGGCCTAGTTCCTAGGCCTTGTGTGTATCCATATGCTCTTGTGCTACCGTCCACAGGATATGGGGTGCATGATAAACTAAATCTAAGTCTATCTTCCTTCCTCACATTAGCGGGAGGACGCACACCTCTCTCCTCTTCCTCCAGATACACCTTCCTAGTTGACATGACTCGAGAAGTTGCAAAGGGAGAAAAATAATGGAGGAAAAGGAAACAACGGAAAAGGAATAATGAAAGGATGAACAACAAGGAAAGAAGAAGGGAGAGAGTGAAATGATAAGATGGGATATTAAAGAGGAGTGGAGAAGAAATTTCTTCTCTCAGATTGTGTTTTAGGGCAAGTGTCAGCCCTAATTGCTTGTTGGACCCTAATCGCTAGTTGATACTCTCTGCTTTACGGCTTTCAAATCCCTATCTCGTTGTTTCTTCGACTTGAGTTCCTGGTTGCTAATCCAACCTGTTTCTTAGTTCCTGGTATGGCAGAGATACTGTAGAAACACGTTTTGCTCACTGCAGAGTTTTATCATGATGGAGGCTCTAACACGAAGCGAAATATTCTCAGTAATAAACGTGTCATTTTTTGAAATATATTTGTGGTTAATACCTGCCCACCAAGCTGAGTTCCTGCTTGCTCATCCTCTGGTGACTTTGTCATCTGCTGCCTTCACCCATTTATCGTCCCGTTAAAAACACTAGTTTGCTTTCACCCTTCCCTTCTCTCAAGTTGTTGCTTCACACGGCAACCATCTTGTGTCACGTACACAAACACACCAAGGACAGCAGTCGCAAATACAAACAAACGCAGGAAAACACACACACACACACACACACACACACACACACACACACACACACACACACACTTTACAACTCGTCTCTCTCTCTCTCTCTCTCTCTCTCTCTCTCTCTCTCTCTCTCTCTCTCTCTCTCTCTCATCCTACACATTAACTACAGACAGATGACGGACTCGTCAATACAAGAAGTATGAAGGACTCTTCAAAGTGTAAACATCCTGATGCTGGTATCCTTCTCGTTAGCTTGATGATGTGGACGAGTCCTGCAACACAGGGGTCAGCAGACACACACACAAACTACAAACAACAGGCCAAGTGTCTATGGACAAGTGCCTTTGACAAGTGATAACACACACACACACACACACACACACACACACACACACACACACACACCACACACACACACACACACACACGCTAACATGCTACCAGCGTACATTATCATTATTATTATCATCAATATTTTTAGTATTATCTCGCGGAAGCCCTAAACATATCATTAAACATGTTACAATTTACATTTCAACGCAATTTAACAACTACTGCTCGGTGTAATATCGTTTATAATTAAGTCTGAGGTAACGAGAGAGAGAGAGAGGAGAGAGAGAGAGAGAGAGAGAGAGAGAGAGAGAGTGTGTGTGTGTACTCACCTAGTTGAGGTTGCGGGGGTCGAGTCCGAGCTCCTGGCCCCGCCTCTTCACTGATCGCTACTAGGTCACTCTCCCCGAGCCGTGAGCTTTATCATACCTCTGCTTAAAGCTATGTATGGATCCTGCCTCCACTACATCGCTTCCCAAACTATTCCACTTACTGACTACTCTGTGGCTGAAGAAATACTTCCTAACATCCCTGTGATTCATCTGTGTCTTTAGCTTCCAACTGTGTCCCCTTGTTACTGTGTCCAATCTCTGGAACATCCTGTCTTTGTCCACCTTGTCAATTCCCCTCAGTATTTTGTATGTCGTTATCATGTCCCCCTATCTCTCCTGTCCTCCAGTGTCGTCAGGTTGATTTCCCTTAACCTCTCCTCGTAGGACATACCTCTTAGCTCTGGGACTAGTCTTGTTGCAAACCTTTGCACTTTCTCTAGTTTCTTTACGTGCTTGGCTAGGTGTGGGTTCCAAACTGGTGCCGCATACTCCAATATGGGCCTAACGTATTACGGTGTACAGGGTCCTGAACGATTCCTTATTAAGATGTCGGAATGCTGTTCTGAGGTTTGCTAGGCGTGTGTGTGTGTGTGTGTGTGTGTGTGTGTGTGTGTGTGTGTGTGTGTGTGTGTGGACTTAATTCAAACTTACCTGGGGCATTCAGTCGAAGGATCGTCGGGGAAGAGCAGGTCGATGTCTCCCTTCCACAAGCCGACTTCGCCAGCGTGATCGATAAATGATTAGCCGGCAGCTGAGTAATTTGCGATTGGCTGGTCGGTGACCTGTTGACTGGTGATTGGCTGGCTGGTGACTCGGTGGGTGGTGACTCGGTGGGTGGTGACTCGGTGGGTGGTGACTCGGTGGGTGGTGACTCGGTGGCTGGTGACTCGGTGGGTGGTGACTCGGTGGCTGGCGACTCGGTGGCTGGCGACTGGTCGACCGACGATTGCTTGGTCGGCGGCAGACTGGTCGGCGAGTAACAGATCGGCGAGTGACTATTTGGTGACAGATAAGTCGGTGACTCGCTGGTCGGTGACATTCTGATCGCCGATGTCCTAGTAAGTGGAGGCTTGGTCGGTTTCACATACGTCGGTGATGACCTGGTCGGTGACGGAGTGGAAAGACGTAAACTCACCGACCATAAACTGGTCGGCGAGGGGCTGGTCGAGGATAACTGGGTCGGGGTTGTGTTTATCGGCAACATGTTATGACTTGAACTGGCCGGCGATGAACCGGTCGGTGACTGGTCGGTCGGCGACTGGTTGGTCGGTGACTGGCTGGTCGGTGACGGACTGATCGGGGAGAAGACAGGCGGAAAGGCGGAGAAGAGGAACTTGTCGGAGGAGAGACGGTGGTCATAACTCTCTGAAAGCTGTCGAAGTTTAGCCTTGAGCTGGCTCCGACCGGCCCCTGTTGCCATTCTGTCGACACTATGACAACACATGTCAACACTCTGGCTACAAGTGGCCACACTATGGCAGTATCTAGCCCGTCTGTTGGCCGAGTTTGTCTCCATGTGCACGCCCGTGTGCGCGTCTTGACTCATTAAAACACACGACCAAACAACAAGGACCGCTAGACAATACAAAATAAAACTCTGACACTCTTGTGTATTTTGCCTCGAGTTAGATTTACACTTGGAGTTGTAAACAAATACCAAGTAGGAGTCTGCTGCTGTAAACAACTATCAGATTTACACCTGGAGAGAAAGGGTGCGTTGTTCTCTTTTAGGGAGGAACTGTAAATGAGTCAAGCGTCAAAACAAGTCTCAGAGAGAGTAATGTGTAAATCAACACTGGCTTTTATAAACTGGATTCATAAACTTATCGAAAACCACAGTAAAAACAGACAAAAAACGAGTCTGCTTTTTTATCCTTGATTAATACGGCTAGATAATACAAGATATTCCTTAATCTAGATAAAAAGCAAATACTTCTTCTCATCAGATAGCCTCAATGTGGCTATCGGTGCGGAATTCAGTGTTCTCCGTCACCTGTATGTCCCATGTAGTCCCGTGGACCGCAGCCCAACTCCTTGACCTGACCAGAGGCAGAGGGCCATTAGTAGAAATCCCATGCGTTTATGCACACCTGGGAATGCTAATAAAAATCATCTCACAGGGAGAAACAAAACGGCAAAAGTTAGTCTGTATATTTGGACTTGGGGGGTCTAAGGTCCTCTTCAGTAGAACACAAAGAGTAAGAAGAAATGCTAAATAATATAAAGATGGGAATACAAGCACGGGAGTACTAGCCAACAGAGTATCGAACCTACACTACCTGGTGTTTCTGCAACACGTAACTAAAGTTGTTTATATATTTGGGTCTTTCCTCTACTTTCACAATGTTCTTCAATCCCCTGTGAAGGATACATGAAAACTCTTGTGGAAAATACAACTCTTTGTTTATCTAATAGCGAGTAAGCTTGGGTCTGGGACAACACTTGGGCTTACCACATTCCTCGAGATTCAGATGAAAAACCGGTTTTGATACTTATACCTGATACCTGCTCATGGTGTTAGTGCGCTGGATTCCAACCCGGGGGGATGGGGTTCATGAGTTCAATCCCCGCAGTACTCCTCAATTTTCAGACCCGTTCAGTTTTGAACAAACCCATCAGGAAAACCTAAAGTCTGCTCTCTTACGAGCTTACTCTAAACAGTGCAATTTTTTTCCCTAGATGCTATTTAAATAGTACATCTAACATTAAATACCACGTACCATTAAAGCCTTTCCATTTGCTATTAAATCTGGATACATATTTTTTCAATGCCATTTAAGAAAAATTACACTACAGACGAGCCTCTGAAGAGAGATGATTATATTACAAAACTATCGAGGTGTGATATTCCTCGAAAAATTAAAATAACTAACATTAATGTTATCCCGGGTTAAATATACACAATGTGACGGATCTTCTCGGTTGAATTCCATTATGATCGTCTCTGACTGGCGGCCCGATTTTTCTTTTTTTTTTTTTTTTTACACTCATTCTACCCGCTGTCACTGAGAAGCCTGGTATTATGTTCTTAGGAACATAATACCACAATACCCAAAGGCTGTATGACCCTTAGGGGTGATGCAGCCTTTGGGGACTGTGAAACAGTAGGGGTTAAAAAACAAGGGGAATGTAATTCCCATGATCAAAGAGTCCCTTTGGCAGAATCAAGGTAGTCTACCCCCCTTGAAGGCAGGAGATAAGTGACTTGGCTTATTTATCTTTATCATTAGTTTAAATAAAGCATAAAACAAATCTAAAAGCCAAGAGCTACAACACGATTCCCGGGTAGTGATCTAGAGCTCACGATCTCCGGGTAGTGATCTAGAACTCACTAGCTCCAGGTAGAAACAAATCACACTACCAGTAGCATCACGAAATAGATAAAAATACTGAAACTAGAATGTGACAGGCCTCAGAATATGATCCAGATCGTCTCTGCATTTAGTCAGTAACATAGATCACTGTACTGCCCTTCACTCCAGTCTATACACACTTAGAAGAAATGAGAGTAAAAAGCAAGAAATACTGCGGGAAACAGAACTCAGGACGCCTGTACAACGGAGCAAGTTACCCAGTCCTGACAGTGACGGGAAGCCGAGTAAAACGTGGACCAGGGACTTTGGTTGGGGGCAAGCACACTGTGCCTTCATCCGAAACACTACAAATGTGAAACCAGCAGTATTCTGTAATCCCTTTCAGGTATTCGAAAACCGACTCCATATAGTACCCATTACTTTCCGAATACTTAATGTATATGCATGTGTGTGTGTGGGGGGGGGGATGGGCAAAAACAGTTAAATGGGTGTGAAGCATGGTATTAAATGTTGCAGCCAAGAGAAAGTTGGAGTCAGTGAAGATATCATGTTTGAGGGTAATGTGTTAGGTGAATAATATGAAAAGAACTGGGAGTTTGGAGAGAAGAAGAATGTAAGAGTTTACCAAAAGTATTATTCAGAGGGCTGAGAAGGGATTGCTGAGGTGGCAGAGACGTCTAGAGAGGATTTAGCAAATTAAGATGAATTGGAAGGTGTTTAAATCTAGGGGAAGGAGTGGTCTTAGGAAAGGCTGGAGAGAGGGTCCTAAAAAAAAGTTTTGAGTGCTAGGGGTTTAGACATCGAAGAAGCTTGTGTGAGCTCATTACATCGGAGTGGAGACAAGTGGTTTGTATGACTTGACGCGCTGTTGGAGTGTAAGCAGGTTGGAGCGTAACCGGTCAGCCAGGCCTCAGCCCACTCTGAAGGAGGGGTGGGGATGCTGTAGTTCAGAGAGTCAACTGAATTGTGATGCCAGCACGCTTCTGGCGAGACAAGGATTGCATGAGAGACAGTAAAAGTGTTTCATCTTTTTGGGGATACCCTACCTCAGTGTGAGAAGACTGGCGTGTTTACACACACACACACACACACCACACAACACACACACACACACACACACACACAAGGTCACAATTGGAAGTTGAAGACTCCTATGAATCAAAGGGATGTTAGGAAGTATTTCTTCAGTCACAGAGTTGTCAGGAAATGGAATAGCCTAGAAAGTGATGTAGTGGAGGCAGGAACCATACATAGTTTTAAGACGAGGTTTGATAAAGCTCATGGAGCGGGGAGACAGAGGGCCCAGTAGCAACCGGTGAAGAGGTGAGGCCAGGAACTGTGACTCGACCCCTGCAACCACAAACAGGTAATTACATAGATTTCATGATGTAAGTGTGGCTGTAACCTATACCGTAACATGCCTGGTGGTCCGAAATCTTCATTAGCGGTGCCCTGTATCGCCACATTAAAGATTTACGTAGACTCGGTTCAAATGCATTCACCGCAGTTTATAAAACCAAGGTAACAATCACAGTTTAATTATTAAGTAGATACTAGGCACGTGTGGTAAATTATCGGTATCGATGGTATCGGCTAATTCTAACAGTATCGGTAAGAATACTGGTACTGTCTCATCCTTAGCAGAAGAGGCAATGAGAGCTAATCATGTCAGTCAGCACCGTCATGTCACCGTACTATTATTATTATTCACGAAATTCGCTAAACCCGAAGAGGCGATGTTTGCAGGAGTGAGTACTGTGGGCACCACCACTGACACCACCGGCACGCCGGGCATTCTGCACTACCACCACCGGCACCAGAGAGGTACTAGACAGGTGAGGGTTGGCTCGCCTGGCACCCCACTACTGCCTCTAGTCAAACACCTTTGTAGTGCTTCACGATAATCAGTGTGTGTGTGTGTGTGTGTGTGTGGTGTGTGAGTGTGAAGTGATCGGTAGTGATAGGGAGACAGAGAGAGAGAGACAGAGAGACAGAGAGAGAGACAGAGAGACAGAGAGAGAGACAGAGACCGAGAGACAGAGACAGAGACAGAGAGAGAGAATCACTACAAAATAGTAAGTTAGTACAGTTAAAATGAAGACTATTGGATTATTATTAACCAAGGAGGGTTATACCGCCTTTCAGGTTATACTGTTTGTCAGCATTTTTTTTTTTCATTTCTCCCAAGTTATCGAGCATAACTAAAGAACGATAGCTTAGTATCTAATGTGTACTGGTAAGAGATTTTGTCTAGTGTGGCGATAGTCTGAGTCCACTGTGTAAATTATTTTAAACAAGTAGTGATTATTTCGTAGTGTTATAGTGCTTGATGGGGCTCAGCTCTATCTCCTGGGTCTCTTGAAAGACCTGATCTATAGCTAGTTTGCATCTTTCGAGAGTTGATCTCCAATTCTGGGCCTCTATGGGATAGCTGATTTGTAGCTCCTGGGTCTTTTTTTTTTTTGAGGGTGTTGAACAGCAGCTCCTTTGCCCCACGTGGGTTTAGAGATTTAGCTACTATGCCTCTTGCATGTACTGGAGGGTCACCATAAAACAGGTCAAAATACCTGGGAATAATAAAGTCAGTTGACCTGTTCTTGAAAGAGCATATAAAGCAAATGCTGCAAAAGCCAAGGAAATGACAGTATTAATAATGAGAACTTCCGGAACAAGAGGAATAATGACCTGGTGGACACTATTCAAATCACCTGAACCCTCTCGCATGAAGTACTGTTCAGCGTTGACGGCTCCATTCTCAGGTGGTGAGACAGCAGAACTGCGAAAAATTCGAAACATGTTTAACACCTGCACAGAAACAATAAATCATTTTAAACTACTGGGAATGATTCAAAAACTGGGAATGTGCTCTCAGGAGAGGTAAGAGAGAGGGAGACTTAGTCGCAAGTCTGCACACTATCATAATGTACTAGAGTAAGAGATATGCAAGTGTAAAATAAACCCAGTGAAAAGCAGAGACGCCATGAATACGAGAACACTATCAACATTCGTGGGCCTTGACCAGCAGATATCAGAAATATTGCTGGAACAAGTGTAGAAGTATTCAGAAAGTGGATCACTAGGTAAACCTGGCTGTGATGGATATGGGCCGGTAGGCAACCAACACCAACAGCCTGATAGACCAGGCAATTAAGAGAGAGGCTTGACTAGGAACCCATTCAAAACAAGTTACAAGTAAATCATAGAAAGTTAGGGGTTATGTGATGTAAAGTACAGCCTTCTGCATCTTCTTCTCCTCCTTTTCCTCTTCCTCCTCCTCCTCCTACTACTGCTCTTCTTCTTCTCTTCCTTCTCTACCTCCATGTTTTATAATTATTAACGCTCTGAGGTTTAATAAACATTACTCTTCCCAAGTTAATAATTATTTACCCTCTGGGAAAATTAATTAAGAGTCCGTGGTTACTAATCAGAATAAAATCTTCGACTTCAATTGTCTATAAAAGATATTAGTTACCCCAGAACATCGTTCATTCTCTCTCAACACAGAAAACGAGATGAGGTCCCCACTCGTGGCTTATTCACCATAACTATAACAAAAACCAATTTGCAATTCTCGGAACAGTCGAATTCTTGCCACCCTGAAGCCACCATACCATGGCTTACTTTCACTGGGGGTTCTTCGATTTAAGAACCCCAATGGAAATCAAGAACCCCAATGGAAATCAAGAACCCCAGTGGAAATAAGTCACTGACTTTTATTTGTTCCTCCTGGGTAATTTACACCATTTATAATAAATGTACTTGTATAACTGTGCCAAAATTAACTTACTATCAACGACCTACAACAGTCAGCCGACAACCCTGGCACCTACTTACTGTTAGGTGCACTAAACATGTTGCCGGGATCGAGCCCAGATCCTTCAGATATGAACCGAAGGCGCAACCACTGGAGTCACGAGTATCTTACATATTTATTGACTATGAACACTGATGTCCCTTTACTGTTATAAGTTGCATCGTCTGTCATTTTAATGACTTGGAAATACATTTCCGCGTGAAGCCAACGATGCAGCTTGTGTAAGCGAATTAATGTATACAGGTATTGCTGCTGACGTTGCTTTAGATTGGTTGATTAATGGGGGTTTAAAGCCTATCGACTTGATTGAGGGTCATTAAGGCTGCGCGTAACCTTTTCGTGTTTTACTGGTGTCTGTACCTTGTAGAAGTGTTTTTTTTTTCAGTTACTGTTAAAAATAGCAAGCCGTTTTGACTCGGCATACTGCAGGAGTTGAGTCTTGGCTCCTGGAGAGGCCGGTAAACTACCAGCCAAGATTACTTTTAATTCCTAAAATAGGGATTGAAGTAAATTGTCAGTTTATATACGCTGAGAGAAATGCACGTCTAGGTGCATATATCTCATAGTCCTTAAGTCGTTAGGTTAAGTTCCCCCTTCTTCTAATAACATGTTCGTTTTTCCACTATAATCTACCTTGTCCATAATTACTATCACATTTGCTTTGTTTCGTAAGGTGAAGTCCAGGATCTTTCCCCTCACTTTACGAAACAAAGCAAATGCGATAGTAATTATAGGCAAGGTAGATTATAGTGAAAATGAACATGTTATTAGAAGACGGGGGAACTTACGTACCCCTTAATACGTACATTATTACCCCCATAACAGTAACTCCAACTCTGCTGAAAGAAAACAATTTTAAGTTGCTGAGGCAGCTTATCCCGCTTGGGAATGTTAAGACCATATCCTCAGCGTCCTACTTAAGTGTCCCAGTACAGGCTGTTTGTATTTCCCAGTATAGGCTGTATGTATTTCCCAGTACAGGCTGTTTGTATTTCATTATCTATACCCCAGTATGTTTACTTTTCACACTTAATCTGCTTTTACATTAAATATCTGCCCAATATCTTATGTATGTACATTAAGCTTTTGGTTTGTCAATTGCTTCAGTGGGTTTACTTTTATTTATCTCTACTTTCATGTAATAATTTACTATTCTTATATATGTTACTTATTTTTTTTTGGAACAGATTAGTCAGTGTTGCTAGATATGTGAAGTCTCCGCGTTTTTTCTAGCTCTGTTAAAATAGAAACTTCCAATTCAGAACTAGAGTTTGATTGAGTCTTGGCTTTTGGGGTGGATGGCGGGCGGGGGGCGGACCCGGAATACTCAGTAACTCACGGCGTAAGCAGATAAATACGCACAATTTAGCCTCGGAGTTTGACTTTTAAAAACATGAAAACCCATACACAAATCAGGTTCATTAGTTCTTTCGCTCCTCTCCCCGGCAGCAGAGACGTAACTGAGTCTTGAGAGACCGGTGAGATCCTCAGTGCAATCTGTGTCAGGTATCCTCAAAGACATGTCAAGGTGGGCACAGCACCTGACCAGGTCAGTGGATCAGGTTCACCGCTAATAACGCGATGGAGTTATCGGTAGCACAGCGAGTGCTGCGGCGACGACAACACTTTAGTGAATCACATTATCTGATGCAACTTCATTAAAAGCGGATCGATATTAAAATATCATTATCCGTATCGGCTGAGAGTAATGCAAACACCAAAATCAAGCACAAATATAAAGCACAGCCTTAAAATACAAACAAACCCCAAAAACTGGAATTCTGTATTGTTTCCCATGTGAAGTAGTGGAGGATCGATCCACCGTCTTCACTGACGCGTTTACCTGGAGTTTACCTGGAGAGAGTTCCGGGGGTCAACGCCCCCGCGGCCCGGTCTGTGACCAGGCCTCCTGGTGGATCAGAGCCTGATCAACCAGGCTGTTGCTGCTGGCTGCACGCAAACCAACATACGAGCCACAGCCCGGCTGATCCGGAACTGACTTTAGGTGCTTGTCCAGTGCCAGCTTGAAGACTGCCAGGGGTCTGTTGGTAATCCCCCTTATGTGTGCTGGGAGGCAGTTGAACAGTCTCGGGCCCCTGACACTTATTGTATGGTCTCTTAACGTGCTAGTGACACCCCTGCTTTTCATTGGGGGGATGGTGCATCGTCTGCCAAGTCTTTTGCTTTCGTAGTGAGTGATTTTCGTGTGCAAGTTCGGTACTAGTCCCCCTTAAGTCATACACTTTTTTTTCTTCGTTTACAATTCGGTAAACAAGAAATTCACATTACACATTAATGCAATATACTTTTTTTTTTTTGCAATTCTTAGACTGTTGTGAAACAAAGAAGATTGACTTAGGTAAATCCCCCTATTATCTCTCTTTTTTAGTAATTATGCAGAAAGGGGGCAACTAGCCCCTTATTCAAATGGAAAAAAGGGAAACAGAGGAATAATTATGAAATATATAGTTATAATTTTAACCTTAATTTTTAAAGGGGTGGAAGGGTAAGCCAGTGGAAGGCCTCGGTCAGATGACCAAAAGCTCCAGCTGCGGGTCATCATGACCAAGACACTTGTCCTGTTTCCTGACAAACCTCACCTAACCTAACCTGATTACAGGAATAAGCGTTAGAGAGACCCGCGAGCAATTAAAAATAATTGAAGACTAAATGTAAAGAGAAGTGATATTTAACTGTAATCTTACGTGTTAATTATACTCAGACAAGATTTCCTGTCCTGCCAAATAGCAAAAACAAGTTTAAAACTTCCTCTTCACTCATGAGAAGGTTTCACCGCCCTGGGTAGCTGCTCTCTACAAACCTTCTACCTCCTACACAATCCCACCACCGTAATAATCAACGTCACAATAACAAACTAGAAAGATGCAGAATAAACAATTTAATTTTCACATCTAACTTCGACTAACATATAGTTTCGATTTTTTTCTGTTCTTTAGCTCCAATAAATGTTACCTCTGGATGAGAAAGGATCAAAGATGTTT